TTGACATCAACCTAAATGAGAGCTTATAAAATTATAACAGAGAAAATAAATAGTTTTAAATTAATAGTTGTAAGTAAATAGTCAAACTCACCAGAATTACTTAACATCATTAATATCTTATGAAATACAGCAGATTTGAGGTCAGAAATCATATAATTTATTTCTTTTATTAAAAAAAAATTATATGTTGGTAAATATCGCCTCACAGAATAAGCAGCTGTATACTTTCTAACAGGAAGTAGAGCAGTTCAAAAACTCGAGATTGTTATTGTTTATATTTATATTGAAGACGTCATCCATGCTCTTTATGTAGATAAGCAATTCATTATTCAAACTGATGCCAGCGACTTATGTATGAGGATGTTTTGACATAATATAATGAAAGGATGAACGAACAACTCATATTATGGTTAAGCAAAAAGTATTCTCTTGCTGAAAAAAAAATATCATAGCTCAACAGAAACAAACGTGCTTGCATTATTTTTGCTGTAAAGAAATTTCATTATTATACCGATGGAAGATCTTTCACAATTGAAACTGATCAAAATCTTTGAACTTGGTAAAATAATATAAGTGCCAAAACCCCCCTAGTGTGCTGATACTTATTCCATCAAACTTATGGTTTTAAAATTATTCATAAAGCTTGGAAATTGAATAATAACGCGGATAGTTTAAGCTAAGTATCGAGCTCTTTTAGGTTAAAAAAATTATAATAGCTATTGCTAATAATTTTTCATAAGAGTGAGAGTTTAAAATCAAAATAATCTTATTATTAATACATATTTTCATTAATGTTATATTTTATTTTGTAAATATAATGATTAATATTTTTTCAATTGCCAACCGGACTATGCAGGGATCGGAGACCTAGCCTTGCATCTGAAAGGTTCTGGGTTCGAACCCCGGGTAAGGCATGGATGTTGTTTCATTCTCTTTACGGTGGGAGCAACGTTGGTCCACTTAATATGGTGCGCCTGGAAAAGTTGCCAAGAGTGATATATATATATATATATACGTCAAACCCCGCTATAGTGAACACTGTTTATAGTGAATTCCCGGATACAGTGAACGAAATGTTCGCTTCCGTGCCTTGCTACACACGTATAGTGTTATTTTTTGTGAATATAGGGAACCAAAAAAAGAGAGGAAGTTGGATACTATGAACTTTTTTCTGTCTTCGACTGATTTATTTTCTTCACTTTTTAGTAAAAATTTCGAAATTTCTGCTCTGCCGATTTTTAACAAGGAATATGGCAGTAAGCATTTTTTCTTTTTTGCTTTATTATTTACTAGCATCAATCTTGCAGCATCTGGCCAATGCTTCAAGTCAAAGCAGACGAATTAGCTGAGCTATTTGGTGTGACTACTTTTGTGCGCTCGAAAGCCTGGGTAGACAGGTTTAAAAAGCGGAATAATATAAATTCAGGAAAAATTATCGGAGAATCGGGAAATGTTTCCATATCTGATGTGGAAAATTGCTCATCAGCTAAAAATTACAGTTTCTTTCTTCTTCTTTTTTTTTTTCTTCTTTTATTTGTACGCAAGACGAAGAGAAATAGAAAATAAAAGTTAACACATTTTTGTTGCTACGTATTATTTTTCAGTCATTTTTGTTCTTCATTTCATTGGTCATTTATTTAAATAATGTGTAATAAAAATTGGCAATTTGAAACCAATAGTTAAAATTGTCTGCAGAACGGATATAGTGAAGTCCCGGTTATAGTGCACCGAAATTTCGATCCCTTGAGGTTTCACTATAGCGGGATTTGACTATATATATTCTTTATAATGTATTCATTTGATATTTTTGAAGATTAGTATTCTTATGATGCTTTTTTCCTACGTTATTAATAATTTGATAATTTTAAAACTATGTAACATTTTAAAAGATTTAATTTTTCATTTCTTTATCTGAAAAAAATCTTAGGAAGAGAGGAGGCTGATATCCCCCCTAACCACAACTGGAACGAAAACTAACTGTGATCAGCCAGTCAGGGATGTTTTAGTTTTGAAGAGAGTAAAATCGATGGAGATACTCTCCTATAGAGTAAATAATAAATATATATTATTTTTATTAGTTAAGTTTTAAATAAATTGTTTTTGTTTGTAACAAAATATAGTCTGAATTTTGCACATTACAACGGAATCGTCAAAAACGAAGACAGTTTCATATTTGAGTATATATTTTTTGCAGTGCACCGTCTACTTTATTTTCCAAACCATGACTGGACATAACTCAGTTTCTATCGCTTTTGTTGTAGCTTACAGGTACAGAGATCTGCGCTCGTGTATCGGTTAAAACATGAATAAAAAGAAAAAATACGCAATATTATCTTCCCCCAAATTTTTTTTAAATGCTAAAAACAACAAATTTTGAAAGCAATTTTTTAAAAAATAGCTATTTATTTTTAGTTAAATGCGTTAAGATTTAAGAAGAAAAAAAAAACATTTTTAGTTTTATTAAAATTTGCAAAACTTTTTTTTCTTCAAGTTTTTAAATTTGAAAGAAAATTTGATATGTCTCAGGAAATATTTAAAAAATAATTATTAAAATCAGAATCCTGTAGCCACTTATCTGTATTTTAGATTAGATTAATTCTGCCTTGAAGAATTCTAATCTGTATTTAAGAGGGAGTAAAAACTGTATAAAAGAATTATTATGTTCTGAACATTAAGTTTAAAAATGCGAGTGAAACTAAACTTTTTCGAAAAATAATATTTTTGAAATTAAATGAGGAACTGTATTAGATTTTAAAAAATGCATTTACGATAATATAAAATATTAATTTTCTACTATGATACTTTGCAACATATGTATATATTCTGTATATAACTATAACATATTTTCCGTACATAAGTATAGTTTTATATGTTTGTATAGGACGTGTGGCGAAAAAATTATATTAATAGCAAAACGTATAGGTAGGTATGTCTAAAGTAAGAACTCCCCTAGCCATTCGTCTGGACCCGTGGCGGTAACTATGGTAACGAGGTACAACTATTTCAAATAGGGGTGTAGGGTCATAGTTTAGGACAGGTTTCAGCTCGGATCGGCGAGAGAAAGGTAATCTTGTTCTTTGGTCTATTGTGTTAGCCCTAAAGTGAAGAGGACTTACCCTCCCTGAAATGAGCGATTCTTGTTTCCACAGCAGCAGACTGTGTGGCGGGAGGAGTTCTTACCATAGATACACTATAGGCAAGTAGGTACTTTACTTACGTCGCACTGGAGCTGCACAATGGGCTATTGATGACGGTCTGTGAAACATCCCTGATGATGATCCGAAGACATACCGTCACAATTTTGATCCTCTGCAGAAGGATGGCTTTGGTAGCCCGACGACCTGTACGCGAAGTCGAGCACATTACGGTAGAACAGTATAACGAGGACCAATACCGCACACCCTTGATCCCTACGTAGGCTCATCGAAGCGGTCACTCACCCGCTTACTGACCGCAGCCAGTGATGCTTGACTTTGGTGCTCTAGTGGGAAACGTATCTTTATGATCAGTCCACTGCGATCGAGCAAACATTTACAGATAAAATTTTCGCTTAGTGAAAATTAGCGAAACAAGCTCCAGATAATTTGAAATGAAGCCAATTATAAAAATAAATTTTGTTTGTGCTAAAAATAAGAATGCGATTTTATCAAATTGTTAAGGTATGACTTATGCAAAACTGGTAATGGAAGAGTTTATTTCAACTAGAAATAACATTTGAAAAATTATGAAAAGTGATTATTATAAAAAACAAACTACAACAATACAGAGAAAAATCGAATCTATAAAAGTGATATGGTAGTAATTATTTTAAAACAGTTTTCATTGTTTAGTATTATTTTCTTTTTGCAAGATAAGGTATTTTTCAATCTTTTAAGTAATTCAATTTAACTTGTACATAAAATAGAACTTTTTCAAAAGAGTTATATTGTATACATTTTTTAAAACTTACTATATAAGCTAACATCATAGTTAAACATCCGAATTAATATAATATCCAACGCATAGTAGTAACGAATTCAGAGTACAAAACATTCAATTAATTGAAAAAATACCTTTGAAAATAGGTTCTTTTTCAAAGAATACCTTTGCAAAACTAATTAGTTTAATATCAAGATATATTAGGGAGAAAACAAAATATTTTTTAAATAAAGAAGTATGCATGACATTGATGATTATTCTTGTTTTTCATTATGCTTAAACAAAATTATAAATTATAAGTAATTTAAAAAACAGAAATTGTTTAAGATTTTATTCAATGTAGAAAAATCTGAATATATATATATATTTCAAGTTTCAATTGCAATTTATTTTCTTATGTAAGAAAAGCAATATCTGCAATTTCGCATTTTTAATTTTGAAAATGAGAATTTTATAATTCAAGTTCTGTATATTTATTTCCTTATATTAGAAAGGTATACAAATTTAAGTATTTCTAATCTTAAAAAAGAAATTATAATTTAAATTTTAAACAATTTAAATCAGAATAAAAAATTAATATCGAACTTAAGCATTTTCAATTTAAAAAAAAAAAGGTATTATTCTTGTTCCAAACTGTTCATTTCTTTCGTAAAATAAGAACTTATTTTTTATTTAAATAAAATCTATATTTCAAATTCCGTATGATTTATTTAATTATGTAATAATGCTGATTTCAGATTTGAGTGTTTTTAAATGGAGTTAAAACCATTAAGTTTAATTCAAAAGGTTTTTTGTAAAACATATTTAATTATTAATTTTGATATAGATTGAAAGTTTTAACTATAAATTTTACTCCCTTTAACTATGTGTTTTATTCTTTTTAATATTAAATATCGAATATATTTTGACAACTAATTAAAACTTTTCAATTGGCACTTATTAAATACTTTTATATCCACAACATGTCTTAATAATTTATACTTTAAAAAAGAACTTAAGAAAAATTCCATTGCTTACAATATATATTTATCCTTTTATCCAAGATTTGAAGAAGAAAAAATAAGCCGTTCAATATAAATCCATTAAATAATGTAGCTAATAGCAGCTTCGTATCCTGCACGTGGATGTTTTGCAACCAACTCTTTCCATTCGCTTGTTGGTAAAAGTTCTCTCAAGTGTACTGCAGCAAAACCAACCGCTTCTCTCTTTATTTTGTCATCATCATAATCGAAGGCAAGATTTAGAATGTCACATACTTTTTCAAGACATATTTCAGAACTAATTATTTCGGCTGTAAGTTGCTTCAAACTTAAAACGTCGTATTTATCAGCTAAAGCATAAAGTTCCTTTGCAGTTGGCCAAGATTTATCTTCGATTTCACCACTGTACAGATATTGAAGAAAGCATTCGAACACTTCGAAAGTAGAATCGGTGATTGTTATAGTATTTGTCAAGGATTCTTTGAAATCATGACTTAACATGTTCTTGAAAACAGGAGAATGCCCAGCCAGGACAGCTTTGTGGGCAGGAAGCGACTTCTCACCGATATTGATGTTGATATCACTCAATTCACCAAACTTCTGAAGAGATTTGAAGTTCGTTGCAAAGTGTTTCAAATGGTTGGAAAAGCTTAGTTCTTTGTAGTAAGATGGAGGAGAATGGATGTGGTTAAAAAATTCCATTTCACAATGTAGTATAAAGGAATGCTCTTTTGCTAATTTAATCATGATTTCTCTTTGATTATAGTGGGAAGTTAATATATCATCAAAAACGACCGATTTCATTTCATCAGTTGTCAGAGCTGGTAACAATTTGTATCTGTGTAAAACGGAACGATCTATGAAGTTTAGACCAACATCCAGTTTTAATTTCATGGTTTTCGGTAGATCAGATGCGCACAAAGTTAGCAATTTCAGTTTCAGTGATATAAATTCATGTCCGTGTACCGTGAGATCGGAATTTATATTATAATGCATATAACTTATTTCGAAACAAAATTCGAGATTGATATTCGGCATTGGACAAAATGGCGTTGTTCGTAAAGAGTGACTTTTTAGAGTATTGAGGTTCGATAATTTAAACTCACCTCTGTAATGTTGAGCCACGAAATTTGTTGACACAATACTTTCAGCAGACATAATGATAAAGGAAGTAAAACGGGAATTTAAACAGGTTTCTTGAAAATGTAATTGTATAGATAATAACTCTGATAATGATTCAAGCTACTTTTTTCGCAGCAGAAGTTGTGGATAAGAGTTTTGTTTTCAAATAGCGGCGAAGTGTTTGTAGAGATATACCGTGTTACTTTCACCAAAGAATAAATTTATTAGAAATTTGGTTTGAAAGATCCCACTGTTGATAAGAGAGAGAGTAGCTGATAAGCCCTCCGGAAATCAGATATTTTCCTATGCTTGTTATGCAACGGGCTTGTCTGAGGAGAAGAAACTTATCTTATTTTTCAGTAGCTAGTGCGCGTAGATATAAGCTCATTAACAATGTTGTTGCTGTTGTTACTTTACGTCGCACTTGAGCTGCACAATGGGCTATTGGCGACGGTAGGATGATCCCAAGACATGCCATCACAATTTTGATCCTCTGCGGAAGGGATGGCACCCCCGCTTCGGTAGCCCGACGATCTGCGCGCGAAGTAGAGTACTTTACGGCAGCACAGTTTAACGAGGACCAATACCGCACACCCTCGGTCCCTACGCAGACTGATCCAAGTGGTCACCCACCCGCACACTGACCGTAGCCAGTGATGTTTGACTTCGGTGATCTGCTGGAAACCGTGTCTTAACGATCAGTCCACTGCGGGACCATTAACAATGTAAACTGGTCATTTAAAAGGGAAAAAAACTTGCATTTTTTGATGTGCCATGCCTTTAAGTAATTTTAATTTCTGAAATAAAATTCCAAGCAACATATTTTAAGCGTTCAAATTAATTTTTCAATGTGTAGTTACTATATGTAGTATGTGAGCCGGGATAGCCTGGTTAGTAGGACACTAGGCCCATGTCCAAAAGATCGTGGGTTCGATTGTCGCCGGCCGAAGACTCCCGGTGTAGTAAATGGTGACAGATGCACGTTAAATCTGTCCAGTCTCAAAGTTCACCATGTTCCCATAACAAATCATACCTCTGGATGTACTGATCCAGGAGTTTCCTTGTCTGCTGAATTGGTTCAAAATTACAAAGCTACGGAGTGGAACATTAGCAGTCGTAAACCCATAAAATTGGGTCTGCTGTTCAACAACGGTTATAAAATAAAATGGATGTATAATTTACTATATATAGATGCGAAAATTGTGTTGTATGTAATATACATCACAGCTTATTTAATGTACAGTTTTTTAAAATTACATTTGAGTAAAAACCAAACACTTTCATCTTACTAAGAATATTTTTAACTATGTTACAATAATTGTATTAAATTATTTCTGTTGAGTTGGCCAAAATGGGTTCGATCGATGGTCAATTTTTAGATCAAGTAGCCATTTTAAAAATTGTCATAATTTTTGCTGTAACCTATGAAAATAAACCTTTGATAATGTAAGGGTATTTTGTTTACTTTTCCGTCTGTTATTAGCATAACTGTATCAAATTTATTGTTCTAATGTTTAATAGTTTTTTTTTCTGATAAGGTCAAATTACGCTTTTTAGTTTCGTATAAACCTTTCCTTTTTCCAATTGAACCTGTCCAGGTAAATTGACTTTCAGTTTCTTCTTTTCCCTCCGTTACTCTTCCACTCTGTTACCTTATTCGTTGTAGCTTTATTTATTGACTCTTAATTCAGCATTTTATCACATATTAAGTTTATTAAAAGAAATGATGACAGTTATTGAATTATTTGAAATAAAACCGTCATAACTTCTGATGGGTGTAAGTTCAAATTTCGTGGTCGGCCGCTGGTCATGATGGGTATTAGTACGCGTGTTCGAATGCAACTTGTTGTTTGCCATTTGCAGCTGAAAATGTCACGGTACAGCGTGCCTGAGTGTATATCGCTTGTGAAGGCCTACTATGCAAGCGATAACAGCTCGATTGCGGCACAGAGGAAGTTTGCGACAAGCTGTAGACAACCGGTTCAAGTGTGCTAGCAATCAAGAATTTGATTCGAAAGTTTGAGAGAGCTGGTAGCATTAGTGATGACAGTATGAGCAATGCCGATCAACAAACAAGTGTGAAAACGTCGAGAAGACATGCGCGGTGTTTCAAACCATCCCAAGGAAATCGATCAGACGAGCTGCAAATCAACTGGGAGACCTTGCGGCAGATTGTTGTTGAAAACCTGCATCTCTTTCGATACAAAAATCAAACCCATCAGCCTCGTGGCCTTGGAACAGCGTTGTGTTTCGCCAATACTATTGGTGAAAAAATTGACGAAAGGGAATTTAATGTGAATATGGTTTTACTTTAGCGCCGAAGCCGATTTCACATTTGGATGGTTTCGTCAATATGCAAAATTGGCACATTCGGGGGACTGAGAATCCGCATTTCGCGATCGAGAAGTCTCTCCACCCTCAACGGATGATTGTGTGGTGTGCAATGTCAAGTCACTGGATAATCGGTGAGATATTCGTTGACCGCACGATTACTACTGAATGATACTTGAAGGTTTTAGAAAATGATTTTACCTCATTATCCAAAGTGAGCATTCGTCAAGATGAAGTTCACGCAAGACGAAACTTGACCCCATTAGACCAAGAGAGTGTTTGATGTGCTAAAGGATTACAATAGGGACAGCATTCTGGCTCCGGGGTACCCCGCGACCACGGAATGGGACTCGCTTAACCGCCATATTCTCCTGTTTTGAACACACGTGATTCCTATTTGTGGGGCTATATTAAAGATAATGTGTACGAAAATCATAACCAATGTATATCCAAAACCATTGCTGAGCTGAAAACAGCCATTTCGGAAATCGAATTAATGTTCCGACACTTCAGTCGGTTATGCAGAACTTTGCCATTCGCCATCATAGCCAATTATGGCAGGCATATCGAATAGTATAAATTAAAATCAGTAACAAATCTTTATACCATGGATGATGCATCATATTTTCAAACTATCCTATATAAATTCTCTCAAATTAAAAAGGAATACTTAAAGCTAACTATGAAAGCGAACATGAAGTGGGTTCGAATGCCGCTATAACATTCGATGCAGATTCCCGTGGTCTCTAGTAAAATCATGCAATCTTTTTTTTCTGTCATTTGTATTTACAAAGAAACTCTTATATGTGTACATAACTCACATATGTACATTTATTTATGTTCGTGTGAACTGACATATGTACATAAATAAATCCCACTACCTCATAAAGCAGTCACCATACTATGATATATCCAAATTTAGTTCCTTTAGAACACTTTAATTAAATATTTGAAGCCATCATTCTCGTTTCTATAACCTTTGATATAATCGAAAAATTATATTAGAAAAAAGAAATAATGAACAGTCATCTCCTATTAACCATATATAAATAAACTGTGATTTTAAATAAACCTTAAAAGTGCAAATAAATTATTACTCTTCTATATTTGGTCAGAGGCACAGACATTAAAAGATTGAAATTGTCAAATAAATGGCAAAATAATCTATAGTTCTGGAGATAATTTTAATAATTTTATCATGATATTTTAGAGAATGGGCATGAAAATAATTTATTTGGTTGCATTTACATTTTGAAACTTGCATTTGTTACTAAATTTATTGTAATAAGAATTATAATTTTGAAAAGTAGGAGAGTAGGTACTTTATTTACGTCGTACTAGAGCTGCACAATGTTCTAGTGGCGACGATCTTTAAAACATGCCTGAGGATGATCCGAAGACATGCTATCCCAATTTCGTGAGGCCACTTCCTCAATTTAGAAATTTTCTCCAGATACCTGAATCCATGGTAATGTTCAAAGACTGACCACAGAACGTTCGATTTAATAATGGTTATATTTAGTATAAGTTTTATTCTATAGTATAGTTTTAATTTACTTATATTCTATATTTAAATTAGTAAAAAACAAAAATAAATCACTAGCGATCAAGGAAGAAAGAAAATGTCAAATCCAGTTTAATCACATGATGAAACTTGAAATTACTCCTAATGTTCGTGCTTCAGTCCTGCCTTCCACAATATTCTTTAGATATAGTTAGCGCTATTGTTTTCCTAACTGCAATATAAATTTGCGATCCCTAAAATGAATGTTTTTTTCAAACTTTATTTTGTAGTAGATGGACTTGCATTTAGGGCGGTGTTTTTACAACACCTTGTGAAAGTCGTAGACAGGTTTGTCGCATATTTTTTAAAAATTTTTTTAAACTGTTTCTTAGATTTTGTTTAAACCAATCTAAAACGGATATCACACGAGAGAAAAATTAAAAGTAACCGTAAGCGGAACCTCCACTCTATCCGCAACTCTAAAGGCAATTTCAGAATTCGGAGTTGCCGATAGAGTTACTTAATTGTCCGAACGGTTGCAAGTAATAAGGTTACCATTTTATACCATTTATCTTAACTTTTGGCTTATATTTAGTTTTTATATGTGATGCTATTATCTCATAATTTCTCAACGACATTTGTAAAAGGAGGAAAAGGATATCATAGACGCTGTAGAGTTGATAGTTTAATTTTGTACATTTTAAAGTCTTTATTCAGCTGCAATTAAAAATTCAGAACTCTTCATTTCCACATTATTGAACAGCATTTAATTAAAAGGATTATCATTTCTAGATCATAATATGAAAATGATATTAAGATATCAATGAATTTCATGTTGCATTTCTAAAAGAATAAGCGCGATGAACTGAAATACTATTTGGTATTTTTACGATTTTTTTACGTTGAATCAAATGATTAATGTAATAAAAGTTTATTATGTATAAAAGTATATATTTTTTTATTTATTCATATTTACGTATCTAACATTGCTAACTAGGCAAGTGAGGTATTGTTACCTATGTAAATCATAACACTAAATCGAATGAGAATAAAACCAACCTGACTGATTTAATAGCTTCGAAAATGTATAAAAGTTTCATGTATAAAAAGTACAATTTTTTTGGCTTTATGCAACCACTTTAGGCAACTGACTTTACTATCTAGACAATGGAAGCATTTTTTACGCTTAATCCAATAAAGTAGTCCTTTGAAATAATTGTTCAGAACAAATGAGGGTTTATTGTATGAAATATGCAATTTTTGACTTACCTACTACTCGTAAAATATTTATTACATCAGAACTATTAGATCTATGAAATCCATTCTGCTTTTTTTTTTTCAGATTTAGTATAAAAACTGCATAATAAATAATGCCTGACTTAAGTTTAAAATAAATTGTTTTTGTTTGTAATAAAATATAGTCTGAATTTTGGAAGAGAACTACATTACAACGGAATCGTCAAAAACGAAGACAGTTTCATAATATTTGAGTATATATTTTTTACAGTGCACCGTCCACTTTATTTTCCAAGCCATGACAGGACACAACCACAACTCGTTTGTATCGCTTTCATTGAAGCTTACAGGTACAGAGATCGTGACGCTTTTGCTGTAGATTATGAGACCGGACGTACGCCCGTAACGCTGTATGGGTTAAAACATGAATAAAAAGTAAATTACGCAATATTATCCTCCCCTAACTTTTTTTAAATGCTAAAAGCAAAAAATTTTAAAGACAATTTTAAAAAATAGCTGGGTTTTTTTTTTATTTCTCTATATAACATCAAATCATAATGGTCTAACACCGTTTTCCATTGTTGTCTGGCCGAAAAATATATATCTTTGATGTTGAAAATTCCAAATTACTAAGTAAAGAAGACTGTATTTCGAGTTAACATCGAATAGAGCTTCCACATATACCTTAAAGAGTATTGTTAAATCTGAAAATTACATCAAACTTACGCATATTTACATATTGAATGAATTATTTTCCATTCCCAGAAAACACCAATGTTGGCAACCTTACGCTATCGCTAGTAGTTTGTTTACGTGTATGTTGGCGGCTACTTGCACCGAGTAGTGGAAAAAATATTCTAAATGTTTCACTTTACCAAAAACTATCCTTGATTCTTGGTTTTGTGGAACAGTTAGTGAAACTTTGGAGTAAAGGAGTTGCCACCATTTTAGTTATTAAGATACACGAAATTTTTTTACAGTGAACATATTAATATTATTTTGTAACCGTCGTTGAACAGCCGACGTAATTTTCGGGTTTACGACTACAAATGCTCAACTCCATAACCTTTTAAATTTGCACCCAACCCAGAAGACAGGAGAACTCCTGGATCAAGTATTAGAAAAAATCAGTCCTCGTGGATGATTTTTTGAGGAAACTAACCAGCATTTGCGTTGCATGGAGAGGAAGACCACGAGAACCTCTTACGAGTAGCCTGACGGCAAAGGGACTCTAACCCATGATCCGCCTACCACTGAGGATATTTCACATCAGCACTGTGGTCGGTGGAAGCTGGATGCGGATTCGTATCGACCAGCCTTCGCTGATATTCGAACCCGGTTGACCTCATTGGAAGGCAAGTACTCTATCCCCTATGAATTCAACTTTTTTTTTACTGTTTTTTTCCTTTGTTTTAAATAATTATTATAATCAAAGCGTCTTAAAAGTTTTTACTCTCACTGTGTACACAATTGAGTCTCCTATGTTTGAAAAATAAAATTGCAGCATACATTTTAAGAGCAATTTATGCAAAGTACATTCCTTCAAGCAAATGCTAAATCCAGTAAAATGCAAAATTAAAGCATTTTCTACGGAAAAATAAATACCTAAGATTCGATAAATAATCCTCATATCTCGTAATCGGTCTCATTAAATTTACCGTGGAAAAAAAAAAACCGAAACAAAATTTTATTTGCCTGTCTAGGGGAGAGCAGCAAAGTGCTCGGGTATCATCCCTTTTGGGTTTGAGTATACCCTTAAATTGTACATAAAATCTCGATCTGGAAAAATATTCCTTCAAAAAAAAAAAAATTATGGGTTCGTCAACATCATATTTAAATATATATATACAATATATATATATATACCTCCATTTAGGAGTGAATGATATAGTTTCGTATTCTGATAATCTTGGCTTACAGATTGAAAACTGAAGGACGTTAAAAAAAACTCGTCGGGTATTGAAGGAATATTGTGGTATCACTAATATTCGAACCCCTATTGAGCCGGGTATGAGATTGACCGATTAGCCCTTTCAGCTACAGTGTGTAAGAAGCTGATCGGAACAAAATGATGACTTCATAAGGTGGATAGAATTCTGGTTGTTAAACCNGAGCAATAAATCCTCCCCACAGATACCCGTTTTTATATTATGGGCCACATTCGCACACAGAGAGGAACCTCCATGCCAAGAGCGGGATCGAACCCACAACCATTGGCTTGACAGTCAAGTACGCTGACCGCTCGGCCGCCTGGCCGGCATTTTGAGAGATATTGCACCATAGTTTTTACTGTGTAATGTTAAACTTTCAGACATAGTTCAATAAACAAACTCGAGTTTCAACTGTACTACTTTACAAATTATAGTCTCATCCAACAGAAAAAATATCGTAGATAGTATTTATACTCAAGGGCTGTTTTAACCCAGTAGTAAAAGCATCAGTCTGAAGGGACCGGCATTCGATCCTCAAAGTTGAAAAGACACCCGGAGAATATGCAAAATGCGTGTTCGCAAAATTTCTATAATCGAAAGTCTTATGCTGGGTAGCTGAGCATATAACATGGGCACAGGAATCAATGCAGAATTATTCTGGGAAACAAAATTTTCATTAAATGTTTTTATTTTTGCTTTATTTTGAAAAATAGGTTTATAGTGATCACATTTTCGGGACAATAAAACGAAAATTCCGACAGGTTGCCGTAAGGTTGCATGCTTTCTGAGAGAATTTTCATTAAAATATCAAATGTTTCCATTTAAAATTTTGATCCTTCAGAATCGATCAACTCATATAAGTATAGCGATAAATTAGCAAATTTACTTGTTTGTTTATTATAACGAGATATATTAAGAAATGTCTAAAAATATTTTTATGCTAAATATATCTTAATGTATGATTCCGAAATATTTCGAATTATCTCTGTTGTATTTCTATATATTGGTTAATCAATGCGTACAAACACAATTTTTTTTTTTATTATCCTTTCTTTTTTAATTTTCCTTTACTTCAAATTTACTAAAAGTACTTTAAATTTAGTTTAAACATTTAAGGAAATGTCTTTAAAAATATTTTTTAAATCTTCATAAACTGACATATTTTCTTAAACCCAAATTGTTAAATTGTTTTCTCACAATTAAATTATTTTGAAACCATTATGTACATTGATTTTCGTAAAAGATCCTTACTTAAATTTGAATGTCTAAAAAAATAGAAATTTTTCTCGTCTAAAATATTTTCCATACAAGTGAATATTTTTATAATGAAACGCCTTTAACCCGAAATCATAAATCAATTTTTATAAACATTTCATACATAAATTACAAGTAAATAGTATGATATAAATCTATATAATTCCAAGTAATTCATATAATTTAAGATATAAAGTATCTGTAATAAAAACTTTTTTTTTTGTTGGAACAAACACTCCTATATTTTCTATGACATTTCAAAAAAAATAAAAATGATACTTTTCCTGGCAAAGCCTACATTTCTTTTAAAAAATAAAACTCAAAAACGTTTCCTGCGTTTCATAAGTTCATCAGTCATATAAGTGCATAAGTATTTTTAACATGGTCATCTACTCAAAATCTCCAAAATATTTTGGAAGATTCTTGTAGTACTTACAAATTGTTATTATGTTTCGATTCTTCAATATCCAACCATGGAGGTGGTAGCGATTACACAGGCTACGCGCTTTTAACCTTGACACGCTATCAGCTGTTTCTGTATGATAACTTTATTAGCTGGTGATCAGCATTGTCTAAAAAAAACACAGTTACTTCATTTGAGCTATCGCTTTATGCGTGTCAATTTGTTCGTAAGTTGTTTCGTTGAGTTATTGGTATCAAACATTTTATGCCAATATGGCTAAGAATGAATACGAAGGTGACTGGACAATATCTACTCCTGCTAATCCTATTGAATTCAAGACTATTGTAACGCCAGCTTTTGCGCCATTCTCTGATAAAAATCTAACATATTGTTTCGAAGCATGGTATCAGGAAGTGCAACACAATACGGTCTTGTATTTATTCAAATTGAAACTCGTAAAACTCTCTAATGATAATATCGCACCAATATTAAAAGTGTCGGTTGACGTGAACTATTCCAATGGAACTATTTTTAAGAATTATCCAACAAAGATGGTTTTCAATGATGGAAGTAATTACGTTACTTTTGAAGATGTAACTCGAGCTCAGTTAATAAATGGCTATGAATCTGAACACTTTCTCAAAATGAGAAGTAACACTTTAATTATAAAATGCAAAATGAAAATTTTACATCAAGATCAAACATTACATATCACGACAGGTGATGAAAGGAAATCAAGCAAATGTGTTGATTTTATAAGAAATCTGAAGTCAATCTACGAACATAGCGTATTGAGTGATTTTGTTTTCAAAGTAGGCGATAAATCCTTCCATGTTCACAAAAACATCCTTGCTGCTCATTCTCCTGTTTTTATGAAAATGATGACCGACGATTTCATGGAATCCAAGACCAACAGCGTTACCATTACGTATGCAACACCTGAAGTCTTTGAATTGTTTCTAATATCTTTGTATACTGGCGAGCTTGAAAACAAGACATGGGATTCTCTGAAAGAACTTTATTACTTAGTGGATAAATATGATGTTGAATTCTTAAAGGTTGAGTGTATTGATGCAGTAATTTCTCTCCTATCTGTGGACTTAGTGTGTGAAATACTCAAACTGGCCTACAGCTTCTCTAATTCTGATTTAAAAACTGCTGCGATAAATTTTGCGGTCAATCACATCAAAGAAATTGTTCCTAGAGAAGATTGGAAAGAACTCGTTAAAACTCATCCAATGATTGGGTATGATGTAATAGTAAATTTCATTCCTAAATAAAAATCTAATAACTCTCTTTTTATACAACTAAATGGTAATTGCGAAAGAGAGTATGATTTTTTTGTGAATACATTATAATATTTTAATTATTATCTATATCGATGTTTTAAAAACTATAGTTTTTAAATTACATTACAGTATTTAGCTTACTTAAGATTACTTGAGTTTAAAATCTGAAACTTTCCTTTGAATCACATAAAATCTCTTATTTAAAAAGATTTCATTAAAGTGCTTCCTATATTATAGGATATGAAGTGGCTCTTAATTTTTTTATTAAATATATCAATTATTTTTGTGTGTATATATAATAAGTTAAATGTCTTTTTAAGTCTATCGATCCTGAAAGTATAGTGATTAACTTGAAAACTTAAATTATCATTACAAAATACCTTTAGAAATTTCAAAAACATAGATGATTATTTTGTATGTTAAATGTGTCTGAATATTTCTTTTTTAACTTTGATTGTTTTGTTAAAGAAAATGACTTTAAAATTGTGTATTCAATATTCTTACCGATGAATTTCTTTAAAGTTATCCATACATATTTATGAAATTTCGATTGATTTGTAAATACAATGTTCGAAGCGTTAATTTTGTGTGCTTTTTAAAACTAATTTTTTTGCGAGGACAATTATAAGTTAGAAATTCCAGTTAAAAAAATTGTTGAAAAAAATATTTGAAAATTTTAATTTTTGAAAGGTATTTTTAAATGTTTACTAAGTTAGTTCAGTTTTATTTTTCAACTGTGCTTTACAATTATAGTTCAAGGAATATCTATATAGATGTTATCTACATTGATGTTTTAAAAACTAGTTTTGAAACTGCAGCGAAATTTTTTATTTAGTTTACATTTAAGATCACTTGAGTTTAAAATCTGAAACTTTGTAAATACAATGTTCGAAGCTTTAAACTGTGTGCTTTTTAAAACTAATTATTTTACGATGACAATTATAAGTTAAAAATTTCAGAAAAAATTTTCTTTGAAAATAATGGTTTTGAAAATTTTATTTTACGAAAGGTTCTCTAAAATGTTTACTAAATTAGTTCAGTTCTTTTTTTTTTTTTTTTTTTTTNTTTTTTTTTTTTGCTGTGCTTTACAATTATAGTTTAAGGAATAAAATATAGTATTCGCTTATGATACGCTTCATACGGAATGTTAATAGTTACTTGTAATGCTACGAGTAACATTTCAAGCACAACATCAAATTATCATAAAATACAAATATTGCGTATTACTATTGTTAAATATGCGTTTTAGTTTTTATAGAAACTCTTTAGTTTCTATCGAAACTCTTATTAAGCTAAACTCTTAATAACAAAAAATATTAATGTTTAATAAAGTAGAACAATTATGCCTAAGAACAAAATTTCGGGTAATTAACAAAGATAGACGATCGTTTCGCCCCAATAACATCGGGTTTGGAGTGTTTTTTTTTTAATTTTTTTTATTAATAAAATTTTTGTAAGATTTGCATTTGGCGATGACTTTCGAAAATTAGTGTGTACTTTTGATATTTGGCTAAATTACTGACTAGTAATTTGAAATCCTTAGTGCGGGCCCACTAACCCATGATCTGTCTCTCACTGAGGATAATTTTACGTCGACACCGTAATTCTTGCGAACAGGGAGCAGAATTCTTATGAACCAGTTATCGTTTGGATTCGAAACTGGTTCACCTCAATGAGTAGCGAATGTCCTATCCTTTGAGCCACCGCTGCTCGGATTGGCGTGTTTCACCGGTTTAGTATGTTCACTAAATTATTATTTTGTTTTTACACATAAGTCTAGTTATAATAGTGGAGATCTTGCGACCAGCGGATCAGAAATTGAACCACCGATTGATTTTTAAGAACCCATTTTTATTAACTTATTTTCTTAACATAAGAAATCATTAAAAAGTTTAAGTATTAACATTTACTGACAAATTTATGAAAAGAAAAATTTGTTCTATTGTAAGGTCGCATTCTCCGGTAATTCTCCATTTATTTTTTGCACTTGGTTAAATTGTATAGAAACAAAAAATAAAAGTTATTTTTTGAACAATTTTATTTGCTCAAAATGCTGAAGTCACTTTTTTATTGTTGGCTTAGTATTTTTTATTGTATTTATCTTAGGAAACAATAATATACAATAATATAATTCTGGTGGCCAAGGTATTTATAGTACTTGATGAATTAAATAATAACTTCAAACTTATATAAAATTACCAGTTTATCTTTAATTTCACTGTTTTTACATAAAAAAAATTTTCAGGAATAACATAATTGTCTATTTTTTCCTACACATATTTATACAGCAGTACGAGTTTCATCATAAATTAAGCAATAAGACCTGAATTAGCTCATCTTCAATAAACTCCTAGCGCTTTTTTTTAATGAAAAAGAAATATTAAAAAAGTTTATCAGTGAATAGGTAAATACTGTTTGATTATTAATACAGATGAGATTGATGCGCATTGAAACAAAAAATTATCCATTTCAAATTAAATACTACAGAAACTTATGCTCGCAATTCAGTTTAGAGGGAAACTATTAGCAGGGAAATTATTACTATATTAATTTTTTATTCATTTGTTTATTGCAGCCGCGAACACTCATGTATGTATATTGGTAAATCGTCGCACTTTATTGAAGCTTTGAGCTAGTTTTGAAGCATTAAATATATTGACGTTTTCTTACGAAAACTAATTGTAGTAAAATTATAATTTTTGCAGCTGCGCACTCTGATGACTAAAGATTAGAAAAAAAGGGAAAAAAACGTGAACTTTTCTTTAAAATCTCAAATTGCTTTCAAGTTATTGAGTTTTAAAAATTTTGGTGTTTTTCTTTTTTATAATCTTGAACATCTAACAAAAAAACGAGCATTTTTTTTTATATCGTTTGGTCATAAAATTGGCTGGATTTACTGAATATTTTATTTTTATTCGGTATTTGATTGTATTTGCCATCACCAAATATTTGTAATTCGATTTGTAGATAGAGAAAAATTGTGTTATCTTAGAGATGCGAATTAATTTTCTTCTTTATGATAATTTATAAAATGGTACATTGATTATTTTATTTATTGCCTAGAACAATTAGGTTGTAGATTATGAGTTAAGAATACAAAAAGCTTTACTGGTTCAAAAGTTCTTCAAAATCCCAACATCAAAACATGGAATATAAAAGTATTAGTATTTTGCACTAGTAAATTGAATAAAGTTTCAGAAAATAAAACAAAAGATATTTTAGATTTATCCAAGATTTCGGACCAAATCTGAAATATTTTCTAAAAGGCACCTTTTAAATACAATCACGATGTATTTATTTCTACATTATGATTGAAGAAAATAAACATAATGATAACTTGTTCTAAAGTTCTTTATATTCCAAGTATTCAGATATCAGATAAAAAAAAAATTTTTTTTTAGACCATCAGTAGATTTTTAACAATAAAATAATAACAATTTCAGAACAGATATCAAAAGATATTTAATATTTAATCACAATATCAGAGCAATTTTGAAATATTTTTTAAGCTCATATTTTATATAGTAATAGTTTTTAGCAAACATATATTATGAGTTAAAATAACAAAAAGTTTACTAATCAGTAACACATAATTTATTTTCATGTCCAAAGCATTGTAACACATGCGATCGAAAGCAGTGGATTTAGAAATAACAGTGCAAATATTAAAACTTCAGAGTTAACATAACAAATATTTTTTTTTAATATGAGTGAAATAATAAAATGCTATTGAATAAATGATGCAATCAATTGTTTAAATGATTTATTTTTATGATATAATGATATAACTTAACATACTAAACATAACATATTTAATGATATAACTGTTACATACTTGTAGACAATATATAAGACAATAATAACTGAGTTTATAAAATATTCTCTCATACGACACGCTCAGTACTAAATTCTCTTAATGGTATTCTTGCTAAAATTAAAATTAAAAATATATTTGTGAATATTGGAGTCCAAATTTAAAATATGAAAAGAAAAACGTTATCGAAACTTGACGAATCATTAACAAGGAAGGCGAGATGCAAGGCAGTTGGATTTCTAGACGAAATTTAAAGCTGTTCTTATCAATCGCTTTTACTTCTTAATACATCAGGTTTTAGTTACATTTCTTTCTTTTTCCTCTTGTCTAAATATTACAGTTACAACTCTAATGTGCATTTTTTTTATTTTTTATTTTTGACAAGAATTGTAAAAATCTTGGACATCTTTCATAAATAGAAATAATGAATACATATTGAGAGAAGTATAAAAACCCAAAGTTCTTGACACAAAAGTCTCGACCTAAATTTTGACAACGATGTCTCTAGAAATAGGACGTTAAAATAAAAATTAGGAAAACAAAGAAATATTAGTTTAGCACCGAATAAAAACAAAAAAGTAAGAATGCTTTTTTTTCTAAAATTTCTATAATTAAACTCGTTTTTATCTTCAGTCTTTCGATTTTGTTTATGATTTAGTAAAATTGACCAATAACAGTTTATTGATTCTTTACTTTTTACCAACTCGTACGTTTAGCTAATATTGAAATATAACTTCATTTTTTATTGGTTTGCAAAATGTTTTACTGGAAATAATTTCTTCACATCAAAATTGACATTTTATATTAATAAAACAAAAATAATAACCGTTTAGTTTTAGCATATAATAGCTTAAATAATTTGATAGAAGAGCCAAGCCATCACAGTTTTAAAAGATATATATTTCGCAAAATTTATAATTATTAATGATCATTTTTTAATATATAATAGATGCTTTGAATAGTTAAGCTTACAATTTTAAAATACAAATATGTATCGAGTAATTCGATATGTATCGAGCAAATATGTAATTCGAGACTCCTCCTCATGGGTTTATTAGTTGTCTACCACTACAAGTGTCGAGAAAATTTTTACGTCGTTTCTCTTATAAAAACTATTTTGCTCTCAGCCAATGACAGACCAGTATTTAGTAACACTCAAGCAACATTAGGTACAGGAACTCTTGTCCGATTCACAATGGCTCTTAAGGATAACATCATTCATTATTTCATGTCCAATTTCAGGATAAGAAGAAATCAATTCTTTCCACTCCTTTTTAGATATTAATTTCCGATAATGAGTGATGGCATATTGTTTAGATATTTGTTTCAGCTCTTTGTCACCATAAATGTAGGCAAGCTTTAGAATTTCGCACACTTGATTAAAACTGAAAGAAGAAGTAATTAGATGAGAACACTCACGTGTTAATGTTTGAACCTCATACTTCTTAGATAAAACATAAAGTTCTTTTACTGTGGGCCAGGATTCGTCTTCGATTTCCCCTGTATACATATATTTAAGGAAACAATCAAATGCTTCGAAAGGTACATCATGAAGTAAGATGTGTTCCTCACTGATATCTGTCATCATCTTTTTAAAAACAGGCGAATGAGCACTAAGAATGAATTTATGAGCAGGTAAAATTCTATTGCCCACTTTAAATGAAACATCAAATTTAAAATATGACTTATAAAAACGACCTAATCCTTGGTTAAACGCCTGTAAATTGTCCAGAGATTGCAATTCACAGTCACGCAACAGTGCTGCTGAAGAACCAGAATTGAAAAAATGAAAATGACATTCCAAAATCAGTGTTTTTGTAAGCATCTTATTGTAATGATTTGAGTTGAAAAAATATAGCGATCTCAACGGCGAAAAAAGATCGTCGAAATGAATGGTATCAATTTCCGCAGCATTGATTGAACGCAGAGGTTTGTATTGATGAAAGAGATCCCCATCTGAATAAAGAATTTGAACGTATAAATCCATCTTTAAAGACAAAGGTATTGTATAATCAGGGAGTTTGAATAAAGTTAATTTCAATAAGTCATACTCATAGTCCTGTTGCTTTGGTACTTGGATGCTTTGATAGACTACTTCAAAACGAAATTCAACACTAGTATTGGTTAGAGGGAAAATTCCTGGTGTTTCAATAATCCGGAGATTTCGACACTAATTCTGCATTCTTGTATAATGAGTAGATTTGCAAGCACTGCAGTTATTTGGGCAGCCATTTAAACACAAGTGGGTACCAGAAATTTGGAAATAAGCTATCAATTTTTTATAGGTAACACCTCACAAAATTTTATTTTGAAGAAGATAAGAAATGAGATTTAAAAAAAATGCCTCCATGGAAAATTATCAAGTACTATAGATTTTTTTTAAAGAAAATTATTCAGTTAGTGATAACAATGAACAATGCATTGTTCACCGTTTTTTCAGATAATTTTTATCTAGCGGATGAACGAATTTGAATACATAATTTGAATAATGACTCCCCACAGCATTCTGGCGAATAATATTGGCGAGACGACGAAATTGTTTTACTGCATGATTGAAGTAGGAGCCATGGTCACAAAGGTTGCCTTGAGCGCAGTTCACCAAACTTTCTTAAAGGGGGATAAGATGTTAGCAGCGCAATTCACCATATTTTAGAAAACCATTAGCGCAATCAGCTATCAGCGTTTGAATATATTCTGAATGATAGAAATTTTTTAAAAAAATCTATAATTCAACAAATTTATATGTTAACAAAACAAAAACTTTTTGGTTCTGATACCACGTTATAGAACTTTTCTGATTAAGATAGCCTGTGTTTAAAAAAAAAAAAGAAGAAGAAATCAGTCTAAACGAAAGTAAACGAAGAAGTTTTTTTTCACTCTTAATTTCTTTACAATTATTTATTGTTGTTATTATTTTTTTTTAAACTAATTTTTGATTATAAATTTAGCTTTTTGTAATATACCCATAAATAATACTCAATCATTTTTTTAACCCTCCTATATTATACCGCAAGAATCTAACGATTCAAAAAAATGATTTCTTTCAACGGATTTCGATTTTTGAAGTTAAAAATAATGGGAGCACAAAATCTAAAAAAATATAGTCCAATGTTTAGATCGAGGAGTTGATGGAAGTTGGGACTTTTTAATTTTAATTTCACTATTTACCTATTTCGCCATACCAGTAGCACAATTAAAGTAAATAAATAATTTAGCACCCAATTACAAAAGTCATTTGGACAAAGGTACTTCCCGCAAAAAAAAAATTATAATTGCTCATTATTTTTTATGAATTTAAATTTGTAAAAAAGAAAATTGCGTATGCACAAATTTTCCCGTCATTTTTATACATGATATAAACTTAAAAATTTAAATGTTTGTGTTTTGAGAAATGAAAATCTAAAAAGACTTGCTTTTTGCCCAAAAATTATTTGACTGATTTCACTGAAATTTTTTGTTTAAATATTATATAGTTTAAAATAAAGAATGAATGTCTTAAATCCAAATTTGTTTGCAACCATTATAGTTAATAATAAATAGTCCTGAAAATTATATATTGTTTGCAACCATCTTAGGATAAACAAGCTTAAAAACTGTGTTTATTCATTATAGTAGTTTTCGAGGTATGGCGAGGTGCGCAAATTGTAGAATTAGAATTAAGTATTCCAAACTTTATTTCATTTTATAACCGGCGCTGAACAGCCGACCCAATTTTTGGGTTTACGAAATACTAATGCTCAACTACATAGCCTTGCAATTTTGAACCCACTCCAGAAGACAAGGGAACTCCTGGATCAAGTATTGGAAAAAAGTTCCCTTTGTGGAGGACTTTTTGGTGAAGCCAACCCGCACTTGCGTAACATGGAGAGGAAAACCGCAAGAACCTCTCACGGTTAGCCTGACGGCAAGGTGACTCTAACCCATGATCCGTCTACCACTGAGGATATTGCACATCAGGACTGTGGTCTGTGCAAATCGGATGCGGAATTCGCATCGACTGGGATTCGAACCCGGTTCACCTCATTGGAAGGCGAACGCTCTATCCCCTGACCCATCGCGGCTCTATTTCACACTTTAGACCGCTTTCCCAACAAAACTATTTTGATCATATTTTCCAAATTGCAGATACCCAAATTGCAGATTATTTTAAGCGTCAAAAATCTAAATCAGCTTTCGGAGAAAAAGTATATTTATTTAAAAAAAAAAAAAAAAAAAAAAAAAAAAAAAAANAAAAAAAAAAAAAACTTACGTTTTTGTGTCAGCTTATACCGTCTATGTAAATGAATTAGCACATTTAAGATAAGCCCTTCGAATCATCAAGATTACATCTTAGAACGTAAAAATCCGATCAATGGAAAAAAGTTACAATGATGTCTGGTTTTTTTTTTTTTTTTTTTTTTTTTTTTTGGTTTTTTTTAAATTTGCTAATTTACCTTGAGTTTGTAGCAATAGATTTGTGAAATAAGTAATACTTTTAATACTATAATGCTAAAAGTTAATTTAAGAAAATTGTTAAGTTGCAAAATTAACCAATGCTCTTTTTAAGTTTTGATTAATTTAGAGACCTAAAAATATAGCGACTTATTTTCTGAATTGAATTAAGAAAGGAATGCTGACAAAAATATTGTAGAAAATATTTTAGAAAATAAGTTATAAAAACTACTAATAAAAAATTTGAACAAAATAAATTATATGAATATGAAAAAAATTTCATTAGGAAAATAATGAAAAATATTTGAATACTTAGTCATTTTCTTTTTCAATTTTCAACTAAGCTATAGAGAGAAACATAACTCAAGTAGGTTCTGGTAATGATCTAGTTGAAATATTAAAAGTTTCGGTGTATGTGGAAAATCGAAATCTTTAATCCCTTAACAAATGTAATTTTAGGATAGTACTTATTGAAAAAGAGGCAAAGTGTGATACTGTAAATAAAGGTTAAATTTAAATAATGTGAAATAAATAGAAAATCATTTGCAAATTTATTGTAAATTATAAACATAAATATGATCACAGTAAAAAAGCAACGAAACACATTTACAAATTTTTCTACCATTTTAATATGATTCTTACGAAGTGTATAGGTTTGTCCTTAATAATTTTTACACATCTCTATGCATAACAAATTTGCTTGCACAAATTTGAATTATTTTTTTCACTTCAGTCGTTAATGCAGCCACATAAAAATTAAAATTAATACTTTTTCTATGGCAGGAGGTTGGGTAGCAGTATAAACAAGACATAGTGTATGATACTTCTCTTTCCCAGCTCTTTTGTTTCAAATTGTTTTCCAGCCAATATAAATATGCAGCTCCAGCAGTTGGTGGTAAGCATAAAAAAAGAACAGCATTGCTTGCCAGACCTACTAGCTCATGAAAACATAGAAAATCGTAATCGCTTAGATTTTACGTTCGTCTTTTCAACGTTTTATTGTGTATCGAAAGTATGAAACTTTCATCACCTCTTCTAATTAAATCTGGAGTCAATCTTGGGTCATTGAAAATTTTGGGGACATAAACCTTTATTTTTTCAAACATCTATGAAATTGTATCAAAACCACTCAATTCATGAAGAAATAAGATTAAATCCTTGTTATGACCGATAACTGCAAGCTTTCAGCAATTATAAAAATAGCATATTAATCGCAAAAAAGCATCATTTCATATGCCGGCGGAGCCTTCGAAAAACAGTCTTAAAGAACGATTGTATTGATATTATTTCACTCATCATAAGTGATTGTCAAATTCTTAAGTTAGCCTCTTGAAAACTCAACCTTATAGTCAGCAGCAAAAAAGTTTACGGTGGATCACATCAAAAAACTTATTTCCAGAGAAGATTTGAAAAATTTAGCTGTATTGCATCCTACTGTAGGCTACGAAATACTTGTTAATTTAATCCCTAAAAGATACAATTTTTTTGTTGTGGAAAATAATAGAGTAATGTCTTAAAATCTGGCATACAAGTAAGTATAGCGATGAACTTAAACACTTACCTATTTGTTTATTATATTGAGTCTTAAGAAACGTTTAAGAATCTTAAGAAACGTTTAAGAATATTTACTTACTTTTTATGCTAAATATGTTTTTATGTATGCTTACGAAGTAGGCTGGAAAATAACCAATAGAAGTATTTGTAGAATATAAATATTTGTAGAATACTAGTTGTAAAACAGAAACTTTCTGAACTATGCTTGTAACATTTAAAAGTCTTGATTAAATAAATCGTTATTAAATATATAATTTATTTCTTAGTTTATAAATATCATGTGTCAAATTTTTAGCGAAAACAAAACAGAAATTTATTGGCTCTTTTAAATTAGAGAGAAAAAGAAATGAAACACGAATCGAGGAATGAAACACGAATATGAAGCCCGTCTCAATGTGACGTCATGATGCTTAATTCCGGTTCTGTTTTAGAGGCAGAGGTGGTTTCGTTTCACAGTGTATGCGATTTTAACCTTGACGCACCATTTTTTTTTTCAGCTCTTTCTGTAAGATATCTTTATCACCGGGTGAATCAGCTTTTATTATTATTATCTTAAAAAAAATACAGTTACTCTTCATTTGAGCTTTCGCTATGCGTGAATCAATTTGTTCGTAAGTTGTTTCGTTGCATATTGGTATCAAAAATTTTATGCCAATATGGCTAAGAATGAATACGTAGGAGCCTGGACAATATCTACACCGGCTTATCCTAATGACTTCAAGTCTATTGTAACGCCAACTTTTGCGCCATTCTCTGGTAAAAATCTAGAATTTCATTTCAAAGCATCGTATAAAGAAGAAGTTTCGCGCCCGATATCCAACTTTTATGAGTTCAAATTGAAACTCGTAAAACTCTCTAATGCTAGTATCTCACCAGTATTAGAAGTGTTGGTTGACGTGAACTATTCTGATGGATCTAATTTTGTGAATTATCCAAGCATGGTTTTAAATGATGGAATGACTTTCGCTACTTTTAATGATGTAACTCGAATTAAGTATGAAAATGGCTATCCATCTGAACACTATAAAAAAATGAGTAGTAACACTTTAATTATAAAATGCAAAATGACAATTTTACATCAAGATCAAACATCACATACAACAGGTAATGAAATTAAATCATGCAAATGTGTTGATGTTATAAGAAATCTGAAGTCAATCTACGAACAAAGCGTGTTCAGTGATTTTGTCTTCAAAGTAGGCGATAAATCCTTCCCTGTTCACAAAATAATCCTTTCTGCTCATTCTCCTGTTTTTATGAAAATGATGACCCATGATTTCATGGAATCCAAGACCAACAGCGTTACCATTACGGATGCAGCACCTGAAGTCTTTGAATTGTTCCTCAGATCTTTGTATGCTGGCGAACTTGAAAACAAGTCATGGGATTCTCTGAAAGAACTTTATTACTTGGTTGATAAATATGATGTTGAATTCTTAAATGTTGAGTGTACTGATGCAGTAATTTCTCTCCTATCTGTGGACTTAGTGTGTGAAATACTCAAACTGGCCTACAGTTTCTCCGATTCTGACTTAAAAACTGCCGCGATAAATTTTGCTGTCAATCACATCAAAAAAATTGTTCCTAGAGAAGATTGGAAAGAACTCGTGAAAAGTCATCCGATGATTGGGTATGATGTCACTGCCAATTTTATTCCGAAATAAAAAATTTAATAACTCTCTTTTTATACAACTAAATTGTGATTGTGAGGAAAGTATGATTTTTTTATGAATACATTAGATTATTTTAATTATTATTATCTATATCGATGTTTTAAAAATTATAGTTTTGAAATTACAAAACAGTCTTTATTAGCACTTAAGATCACTTAAGTTTAAAATCGAAAACTTTGCTTTGAATCACATAAAATCTCTTATTTCAAGAGAAAATTAAAAAGATTTAACTGAAGTGCATCCTATTATAAGATATGAAGTGGTTGTTAATTTTTTTACGACATGCATCAATTATTATTATTATTTTATATATATATATAGATATATATAACAAGTTAAAGGTCTTTTAGTCTATTGATCCATCCTGAAAGTATAGTGATTAACTTGAAATCTTATATTATATCATTATGTAAAACGTTTAGAAATTTCAAAAAGATGATTATTTTGTATGCTAAATATGTCTGAATATTTTTTTCAATTTGATTGTTTTGTTAAAAAAAATGACCTTTGTATATTCAATATTCTTATGCTTGAATTTCTATATTAAAATTCACCATAAATATTTATGAAATTTCGATTGATTTATATATACAATGTTCGAAGCTTTAAATTGTGTGCTTTTTAAAACTAATTATTTTACGATGACAATTATAAGTTAAAAATTTCAATTAAAAAAATTATTGAAAAAAATGGTTTGAAAATTTTAATTTATGAAAGATTTTCTAAAATTTTTACTTAATTAGTTCAGTCTTTTTTATCTGTGCTTTTCAGTTATAGTTCAATGAATGAAATATAGTATTTGTTTATGATACGCTTTATAAAGAAGGTTATAAATTCCGATATCTTTCTTCAGCTAGGATGGAAGGCAAACAAGGGTAACGAAATTAACATTAGCTCTATACTTGCTCTAACAATCATAAATAAATCGTGGAAAAATCTAGATTACTTGGATCATGTCAGCAAATAAGAGATATACAATTATTTTTAGAGAAATGCTATTTTAAATTTGAAAAAAAAAATTTTTTTTTTCATTCATGAGCTTGTCAATTCAAAAAGTGCTGCTTCTTTATATTTATGATATTTTTGAGACAAAGTTATCAAATATTATTAAAGAGAAAACCTTTTTATAAATGTCACGGTGGTCCTATTAAACATTTAGTGTGCTCTTACATAAATCGGGGAAAAGAGTACTTTCCATGATTTTTGAGCTATATGAATAACAACTTCATATTTTATGAGTGAATGCTCACTTAACGCCCTCGTTTCTTGAAAGTGCAGTATTGCCAGGGGCCGATAACCGTTCACCCCCAGATAGCGTTGTAAAATCCCCAAAAATTTTTTAAAAACCCCAAAATTTTTAACTTAATGTATAAGTATTAAACAGTAGTACAAAAGTTAAATAATGCATAGAAACGTTGCTTTAATACTTTTTAATATTTTATTATCAACAAATTAATATGTGCTGATAATTTAAAAAAAAGGATGAACAATTGTACTATTAATTTACCTTTAAACTGCTTTTCGTGTTCCCAATCTTTCTTATACTTTTATACGTACTTCTTTTTTTCTTTATCCTTTGGCATTATTTTTAAACAACGCACATTAAGAATTTTAAGTAATTTGAATTCAAATTCCCCAAACGTACAGGTTGATTGAGCTAAGTATTATCTTACTACATTCAGCAAAGGGGTTAAGTTCTAAAATTAAATCTTAATCTTTTTGTTTTGGTTTAACATTGATTTTCATATTACCATCTCACACATTCAGTTATAAAATTTGATATTAGAACATAATCAAAATGAAACTAGTAAAATTCACAAATAACCCTAAAACAAACCCCTAAAAATAAATTCCCCTAAATTACCCACTGAAGATAAAAAAAAAATTAAAAAAAAAATCCCCCTTAATTTAGGGGAGAAACCCCTAATCTGGCAACACTGTGAAAGAGAGTCGTCAACAACTGATTTCAAACAAATTCCAGTCAAATAGCACTTTAAGAATTTTACAAATGTTGTTTTTGAACACAACACTTTTAAGTTTTCATCATCTCCTTAAAGTATGTATTTATGCAATTCACGGGAAAAAACATGATCATTTTATTAATTAAATTTATACAAATGTTGCAGATTGAATATAAGTTAAACGATTACTTTAAATAATTCTGAAGTATGATATTTTTCATATATAAAGACGAGCAAAGTTTTAGACCTTACTGAATATCTTCAGCTATTCTATTTCATCATGTTAAGTTACAAGGAAAGTGGATATTTTTTAATTTTTATTGATATTATTAGTTTAAAAAATATCATGACTGAACCTTAAAATAGTTTTAATTTAGAGTGTAAATTATTACTTATTTATTAATTATTGTTTATTTATTATTATTAATTATTATTATTATTTATTAATTATTTTTAATTTCATTGTTATAAAAAATTTTTCAGGTACTCTTCGATTTCTCTTTTTAATTTCAAATGCATTTGATTAACTTAATACCTTAATTTGAGCCGCAATGGCTGAAGGGATAGAGCATTCGCTTTCCAATGAGGTGAACCGGGTTCGAATCCCGGCAATGGCTGGGATGCGAATTCCGTATCCAGCTTGCACCAAACACAGTGCTTACGTAAAATATCCTCAGTGGTAGATGGATTATGGGGTAGAGTCCCTTTGCCGTCATGCTAAGCGTGGGAGGTTCTCGTGATCTTCCTCTTCATGTAACGCAAATGCGGGTCAGTTCCCTCAAAAAAGACCTCCACGAAGGCGAAATTTCTCCCAATACTTGATCAAGGAGTTCCCTTGTCTTTGGGGTTGGGTTCAAAATCACAAGGCTACTGAGTTGAACATTATTAGTCGTAAATCTAAAATCAGGACGGCTGTTCAATGACGGTGATAAAATAAAATACCTTAATTTTAATATTTTAATGATTGGACAAACGTAATCAAAGCGTTTTATCCATGAAATTTCGAGTGTCAAAATAAAAATCTAATGCTTTGGTACGATGTATTTTTATACTGTTACCATAAACACTAACTATAAATAACGTTTTTAGAAGAAAATTTATTTTTAAAAATAGAAATTTGTTTGTAAAGATTTTTTTTAACTACCAGCAATAAATATCCTTACTTTAAGTTATAACTTTAAAACTTATCACTATTTTTGTCAAAAACTTTGCGCACGAAATTAAAATTACCAATATTCTGTTAAAATTTTAAAATGATAGAATAAAAATTGCACCTTATTGTTTGCAGCGTCTTGTGTCCCCTTAAAAAAAGTATAAAATTTTTGAAACTTTTTAAACTAACAAATTATATTTTAATAACTTTTCTAATAAGCCTTTATAATTTACATGAAAAAAATTAAATTAAAACATTCTAGACCTCAGTTTTCTTTAAAAATTAACAAAATTCAAATATCCAAATATTAATTATTTTTTATTTTCTTAAATTATTTTCTGAAAAATGAACTTTGCTATAGTTTTATGTCAGGCGCCTTATTTCTCCGCAACCACCAAATAAGAGATCAAGTTTAAATGTATACTTTATTTTACTCTTTTTCTCTATTCTATTAAAGTGTGTATGATTATTTATAGAAATAAATGTGCCTATAAAAATGAATAGCTTTCAGCATACATTCTTTTATTAATACTGGGCAAAATGCTGCCACTATAAATGTCTTCAAAACGTTTAGAAACAATGTGCTATTTAAACTGCAAATTGCTATTATAATATTATTTTAGTTTTCTCTGCAACCACCAAATAAGAGATCAAGTTTAAATGTATACTTTATTTTACTCTTTTTCTCTATTCTATTAAAGTGTGTATGATTATTTATAGAAATAAATATGCCTATAAAAATGAATAGCTTTCAGCTTAAATTCTTATATTAATACTGGGAAATATGCTGCCACTATAAATGTCTTCAAAACGCTTAGAAACATTGTGCTATTTTAGCTGTGAATTGCTATTATTTTAGTTTTCTCTGCAACCACTAAATAAGAGATCAAATTTAAATGTATATTTTATTTTACTCTTTTTCCCTGTTCTATTCAAGTGTGTAAGATTGTTTATAGAAATAAATATGCCTATAAAAATGAATAGCTCTCAGTATACATTCTTATATTAATACTGGGAAATATGCTGCCACTATAAATGTCTTCAAAACGTTTAGAAACATAGTGCTATTTCAGCTGCAAATTGCTATTATTTTAGTAGCATCTTTTCAAATGTACCTGATTTCAAAAGATAAACTTCAGTATTATTAATACGTACACACATTATCTTTTAACAATTCAAGTATTATCTTCTTTTTGTTTGAAGTAACGCATTGATAAGATAATTACAGACAGTTTTGTCGATAATTTGGTTTTTTGCATTTGTTTCCTCCCTATCATTCAAATGCATCATTCGTTTGAAGTCCATTATTAGAAGCTGCATCTAATCTTGACGGTTTTGTATCTCAATAGACTTGACAAGATGAATGAAAAGTTTTCCAAACGATATGAAGGTGAATGGAAAATATCAACACCTGCTCATCCCTCTGTATTCCAGAACATTGTTACCCCAACTTTTTCGCCTCTGCCTGATGATAGTATAAAATTTCATTTTGAAGCTTTTTATCAACAAGTCAGCAGTTCTTCTTTGGGGGAATCTATTTTATCTTTGTTCAAATTGAAACTAGTAAAATTTAGTAATACTCCTATATCTCCATCGTTAGAAGTAACTGTTAATGTAATAGTTAATTACACCAATGGATGTTCTTTCAGAGAATATTATAATCGTTCTTTTTCATACGCTGATGTGCTGACTTTCGAGGATGTAATTCGGGCCACCCGCACAAAATGTCGGACATCAGATCTTCGGTACATGCCAACTGTTACTCCTCATGGCGAAAACATGAAAAGCGAAGCTTTGGTTATAAAATGTGTTATGCATTTTTATGATTATCTTCAATCGCCACATTTTGTCTTCGGTGCCAAAGTGTAGACACTTGAAGTGTAGACACTTCAGACCAACATCTTGATTTTTTTAAAAACTTACAATCGATGTACGATCCCAGTATGTTTAGCGATTTTGTTTTCAAAGTGGGCGATCAATCCTTCCCAGCTCACAAAATAATCCTCTCTGCTCATTCTCCAGTGTTCAAGAATATGATGACCCACGAGTTCGAAGAATCCAAGACCAACAGCGTCACTATTACGGACGCCACGCCTGAAATATTTGATTTATTCCTGAGGTATTTGTATTCAGGTGAGATTGAAGTCAAGTGTTGGGATTCATTAAAAGCGCTTTACTACTTGTCCGATAAATATGACATTGGAATTCTGAAGACTAAATGCGCAGAAACGGCAATTTCTATTTTATCTGTAGATTCTGCATGTGATATACTTAAAGCTGCTTATACCTATTCCGATTCACACATAATTACAACTGCTAAACAATTTGCTGTTCAACACTTGAAGGAAATTGTTTTGAGAGAAGATTGGAAGGAACTTGTAACAACTCATCCGTTGATTGGATATGAAGTAACCTTATATTTTGTTTCAAAATAAACTTTATATTCGAAATATTATTTTATAAAAGTTATTATTTCATGTATGTTATTATTTTATATTTTAGAGAAGTGATTACTAAATTGAAAAGTATCTTTAAACATAACTGCTCTATGATAGTAAATCAAATTTTAATGCTTTTAACGTTTTAATTATTTAGATTTATAAAATAACATAAAATTGTGTTGATTGAACCCGTAATTATCTTTGGTTTTATCTGTGTGTTTTTTTATACGATTACGTAACGGAAATTGAAATGTGTTGATATGTTATTATTTTATCTTGTTGTAGAGAAATAAATACAAGATTGTAAAGTATATTTAATACGTACCTTCTCCTTGATTGTGACTAACAGATGGGTGTTTTAATATTTATAGTTCTATAACATGAAATTTTGTTCAATAAACATAAAGTAATTTTTAATTTTTTAAAGAATTATTATAGAAACGGAAGTAGAAATGTGTTAAAGGTGAATTTTGATATTTAAAAACATAATTTAATAGTAAAAATGAACAATAAACCGCAAAGTTGAATAAAGTATAACTGTATAGCATAAATGTGTGAACGTTATTGTTTACCCCTATACATATAGTCTATTAATAGCTGGACATTTTATTCAATTTTACAATTGTCGTTGAACAGCCGACCCAAATTTATGGGTTTACGACTACTAATGTTCAACTCCGTAGCCTTGTAATTTTGAACCAGAACCAGAAAACAAGGGAACTCCTGTATCAATTATTGGGAGAAATTTGCCTTTGTGGAGGATTTTTTGATGGAGCTAACCAGCACTTGCGTTACATGGAGAGGAAGACCACGAGAACCTCCCACGGTTAGACTGACGGCAAGGGGACTCTTACCCATGACCCGTCTACCACTGAGGATATTTCACATCAGCACTGTGGTCGGTGCAAGCCGGATGCGGAATTCGTATCCAATGGGATTCGAACCCGGTTCGCCTCATTGTAAGGCGTTAGCTCTATCCCCTGAGCCATCGCGGCTCAATAGTTGGAAATTGTACTTAACTGATTATGAAAGAGGTGTAAATCATTAATAGAACCATAAAAAGTTGATAATTACTTTTTAAATAATGTTTACCATGTTCATTGAATTTCTATGTCCACCTCACCCTTTAATAACATACTAATGTTATCAATTACTGTTGTTTTTAATTTTTCTTTAAAAGTAAACCCATTGTTTTATAAATTTTAACATAGAATAAATCCAAGCTACTTTCAAAATAAATTATAACTCGTTTTATAATATTAACTCATATCATATTACCAACATCATATAAAGTACACTACCCTGCAATAATGGAAGAGACCCTTTCAGTTTTTAACATTTTTTTAAATTTCTCAAGAAATACTCAGAGGATTGTCTTAAAACTTTCAGGTTTGAGAAACTGATAATAAATCATGAATAAAAACAAGTATTTTTGAAAACCTTATACCAGAATATATAGCATTAAGTATATAAAGTAGACTACCCTGCAATAATGGAACAGACCCTTTCAGTTTTTAACATTTTTTAAATTTCTCAAGTGATTCGCAGAGGATTGTTTTATAACTTTGAAACTTTCAGGTTTGAGAAACTGATAATAAATCATGAATAAAAACAAGTATTTTTGAAAACCTTATACCAGAATATATAGCATTAAGTATATAAAGTAGACTACCCTGCAATAATGGAACAGACCCTTTCAGTTTTTAACATTTTTTAAATTTCTCAAGTGATTCGCAGAGGATTGTTTTATAACTTTGAAACTTTCAGGTTTGAGAAACTGATAATAAATCATGAATAAAAACAAGTATTNGGAGGGGATGGCACCCCCGCTTCGGTAGCTCGACGACCTGCGCGCGAAGTGGAGCACTTTACGGTAGCACAGTTTAACGAGGACCAATACAGCACACCTTTGGTCCCTGCGCAGGCTGATACAAGTGGTCACCCACCCGCACACTGACCGCAGCCAGTGATGCTTGACTTCGGTGATCTGCTGGGAACCGTGTCTTAACGATCAGTACTAAAATTGTGTTGACTGAATGAAAATAATTTTCGGTTTTACAGCACGTAAAGAGTTTTACTAGTGTTTTCTTTTTAAATATTTCAATCCAATTTTTTCTCTTCAAAACATGCGCCTGTATTATGACTTTTTTCTTCAATCTATTCAGAGAACCTATACAAAAACTCTCCTTCATTTTATTATTATTTAATCAATGTTATTTTGAAAGTTGGTTGGTTTAAACCAATTTGATTTGAATCATGCTTTTAGCTAAATTCAGTGGCACTACAGCCCATAGAGGGCAAAGGCCTACTGTGCCCATCTCAGTTTTCTTGACCTTGGGCTCTGGGGTGCAGGAGCAGATGTTCCGGTTAGGTGGTCAGCCGAACGCGGAACCCGCAGTGTTTAGTTCCCAAGAATGCTTGGTACTCACTTATCGACCCACTGAAGGGATGAAAGGCTGAGTCAATCATGCCCAGCCCGAGGATCGAACCCAGGACCTGTGACACGGGAGAGCGAAGCGCTACCTCTAAGCCACCGGGAGTAGAATCGTGCTTTATAACAAAGTTTTTTGTTTTTTTAAAAATTAAAAAAAAAAACTAGTTTGGTTTTCTTAAGAAAAAAAATATTTTAAACAACTTAAGTTTCAATTGTTTACATAAATAGTCATCGAATCATATCAGCTAATAAGAAAAATTTTGTTTTTCAAGAAACGCTATAAGTTTGAAAAAACTTTTTTTTTTCATTCATGCGCTCATCAATTCAAAAAGTGCTGCTTCTTTACACAATTATGATATTTTTAAGAAAAGGTTATCAAATGTATTATAAAATTTTAAAAAGAAAACCTTCGTTTTTATAAATTTCATGATGGTCCTATTAAGCAATTAATGTGTGCTTACATAAATCAGTAAAAAGAGTACTTCCCATGATTTTCGAGATATAGGAATAAGCTTTCCTGAAATTTCATAGTATTCATAGTCTGTGAATGGTTTCTCATTAGCGCCCTCGTTTCTTGAAAGAGAGTCGTCGACAACTGATTTTAAATAAAATATTCAGTTAAATAGCACTTCAAGAATTTTATTAATGTCGTTATTGAACACAATACTTCAAATTTTTCATCATCTCCTTAAAGTATGTATTAATGCAATTCGGGTACAAAAACATGATCATTTTATTAATTAAATTTTTACAAATGTTGCAGATTGAATACAGTTAAACGATGATTTTAAATAATTCTGAAGTATGATATTTTTCATGTACTGACAAAAAAATGGTTAGACATTGCTGAAAATCTTCAGCTATTCTTTTTTATCATGTTATCATGTTTTGTTGAAAGCAAAGTTGATATTTTGATACAGAGCGAAGGTGATGACACAGAGTGAAAGTCCCAAAAATTGTAAGTGCGCCAAAACATCGATAAAGCGCGCCTAAGGGTGAGCTTGGCGAAGTTCCCTCTTTCATTGGTGGTTGCATTATTTTAGGAATTAGTAGAGCTGCCGCCTTGGAGTAGAAAAGTTGAAAAGTACGCATAACGCTCCGGTGAGTGATCTTTGTTTCTCCGCCACTTGTTTAGTCTTAATTTATATCAATTGTAATCAAGAATTATCAATCATTAAAATTTCAATTAACGTTAACTATGTGTTATCAATCTTTAATTTATATGATACGTATTAGTGATGTATCAATTTTTATTGATATCATTAATTATTAGTTTAAAAAAATATCATGTCATGATTGTACCTTAAAATAACTTAAATACTTTTAATTTATAGGTTAAATTATTATTAAACCTTTTGTTTAAAATAAAGAGCAACAAAAAAAAGGGATTAAACCGGAAAAACCCCATCTTTTCAAACTCAGGTTACTTTTAAATGCAATTTTTTAACTCAAATAAAACACAGAGTGTGGGTAAGGTTATCTTACGCGGAAAAGATTTAAGGTACTACTAGTTTACTTCCTCTATTCATCCCAGTTCCTATATTATTGTTTTTATTTTAATAAAATGCATGACTAAAAATTAGAATTATTTTAGAGCTACTCTACTACTATTATTAAAAAATATTTAACTGGTTGAAAAGAAATTGCAAGAATAGGAAAAGAAGAAAATGTTACTTTTTTGCCTGTCTAATAATTACGCGCTTATTATTTTTATTTTTTTTTTAACATTTTCTCAATTGCAGCTTCTTTTTTTTTTTAATAACTTGCATTAAAAGCCTTGTTTTTAAGAGGGACACCAGAGTTCCAGAATGAGAAAAATCTTTAAAAAATATATTCTTTGGCTTTTAAGATATTAAAAGAATTCACATTTTAATGAACCGTGTTGCAATCGGAGTTTTCCTTAACGAGTTATAAAATTATGAATTTATAAAGGTCCATACATCAATATATAGGCTGACACAGTTGCTTTTTCTCGTTTTAATTTTTTTTCAGCATTCTCAAAACTTAAGAAAGTTCTTTGCGCACTAATTTTTGTTTTATTGTTATAAAAAAAAATTTCAGATACTCTTTGATGCGTCTTGTTTAATTTAAAATACATTTGTTTAACTTAATACCTTAATTTTATGTATTAATAAGCGTTTTTATCGAAGAAATTTCTAGTGACAAAATAAAAATTTTATGCTTTGGTACGATATATTTATTTTTATACGGTTACCATAACCACTTAAATTTATTTAAATAACTGTAAACAACATTCTGTTAAATTTGACATTAACATTCTGTTAAAATTTTGAAATTATCGAATAAAAATTGCACTTTTTTGTTCGCAATGTCTTGCGTCCCCTTAAAAGAAAGTACGTAATTTTTAAAACTTTTTAAACTAACTAACAAATTATATTTTTAATAACTTTTCAAATAAGCCTTTATAATTTACATAAAAAACATTAAATTGAACAGTTCTTGGCCTCAGTTTTCTTTAAAAATTAACAAAATTTAAATATCTAAATATTAATTATTTTTTATTTTCTTAAATTAATTTCTCAAAAGTGAACTTTGATATAGTTTAATGCCAGGCGCCTTATTTCTTTGCAACCACCAAATAAGAGGTCAAATTTAAATATATACGTTATTTTAAATTAAATTGCTTTGAAAAGAACACTCTTTCTTTCAAAACATATGTTCTTACATTTTTTCTCAATTTTTTCAAGAAAAGTTACTCTTTTTCTGTATTTTATTCAAGTGTGTATGATTATTTATAGAAATAAATATTCCTATAAAAATGAATAGCTTCCAATATGCATTCTATTATTAATACTGGGGAAAATGCTGCCACTAAAAATGTTTTCAAAACGTTTAGAAACATACTGCTATTTCAGCGGCAAATTGCTATGATTTTAGTAGCATCCTTACAAATGCACCCGATTTCAAAAGAACTTAAGTATGATTAATCCTTACACCCATTATCTTCTAACAATTCAAGCCTTATCTTCTTTTATTTGAAGTAACGTATTGATAAGATAATTAGAGACAGTGTTATTGATATTTTTTTTAATTTTTTATAGCATTTGTTTCCTCCCTTCGCATTTCTAATGTATCCTTCATTTCAAATCTATTATTAGTAGCTGCATCTAAACTTCGCTGTTTTGTATCTCAACAGACTTGTCAAGATGAATGAAAAGTTTTCCAAACGATATGAAGGTGAATGGAAAATATCAACACCTGCTCATCCCTCTGTATTCCAGAACATTGTTACCCCAACTTTTTCGCCTCTGCCTGATGATAGTATAAAATTTCATTTTGAAGCTTTTTATCAACAAATCAGCAGTTCTTCTTTGGGGGGATCTATTTTATCTTTGTTCAAATTGAAACTAGTAAAACTTAGTAATGCTCCTATATCTCCATCGTTAGAAGCAACTGTTAATGTAATAGTTAATTACACCAATGGATGTCGTTTCACAGAATATAATAGCAGTTCTTTTTTAAACGTTGATGTACTGACTTTCAATGATGTAATTCGGGTCATTCAGACAATCAATTATCCGAACCTGCCAAAGATTTCTCCTCATGGCGAGAATATGAAAAGCGGTGCTTTGGTTATAAAGTGCATAATGCTTTTTAGTGATTGCCATCAATCGCCACATTTGGTCTTCGGTGCCATAGTGTTGACTTCAGACAAACATCTTGATTTTTTTAAAAACTTACAATCGATGTACGATCTCAGTATGTTTAGCGATTTTGTTTTCAAAGTGGGCGATCAATCCTTCCCAGCTCACAAAATAATCCTCTCTGCTCATTCTCCAGTGTTCAAGAATATGATGACCCACGAGTTCGAAGAATCCAAGACCAACAGCGTGACCATTACGGACGCCTCGCCTGAAATATTTGATTTATTCCTGAGGTATTTGTATTCAGGTGAGATTGAAGTCAAGTGTTGGGATTCATTAAAAGCACTTATCTACTTGTCCCATAAATATGATATTGGAATTTTGAAAACTAAATGCGCAGAAGCGGCAATTTCTATTTTATCTGTAGACTCTGCATGTGATATACTTGAAACTGCTTATACCTATTCCGATTCACACTTAAAAACAACCGCTAAACAATTTGCTGTTCAACACTTGAAGGAAATAGTTTTGAGAGAAGATTGGAAGGAACTTGTGACAAATCATCCGTTGATTGGATATGAAGTAACCTTAGATTTTGTTTCAAAATAAACTTTATATTCAAAATATTATTTTATAAAAGTTATTATTTCATGTATGTTTTAATTTTATATTTTAGAGAAGTGATTACTAAATTGAAAAGTATCTTTACACCTAACTGTTCTATGATTGCAAATCAAATTTTATGTTTTTAAAGTTTTAATTGTTTAAATTTATGAAATAACATAAAAATGTGTTGATTGGACACGTAATTATCTTCAGTTCTATCTGTGTTTTTTTTTTTTTTTTTTATCAAATTACGTAACGGAAATTGAAATGTGTTATTATTTTAGCTTGTTGTAGAGAAATAAATACAAGATTGTAAAGTATATTTAATACGTAACTTCTCCTTGATTGTGAATAAGAGTTGGGTGTTTTAAAATTTATCGTTCTATTTCATAAAATTTTGTTCAATAAATATGAAGTAATTTTTCATTATTTAGAGAATTATTATAGAAACAGAAGTAGAAATGTGTTCAAGTTGAATTTTGATATTTTAAAAACATATTGTAATAGTAAAAATGAACAATAAACTGCAAAGTTGAATAACGTGAAACTGTATAGCATAAATGTGTGAACTTTATTGTTTTCCCCTATACATATAATCTATTAATAGACTATCTGGACATTTTATTTAATTTTATAACCGTCGTTGAACAACTGACCCAATTTTATGGGTTTACGACTACTAATGCTAAACTCCGTAGCCTTGTAATTTTGAAACCAACCCAGAAAACAAGGGAACTCCTGGATGGAGTATTGGGAGAAATTTGCCTTTCTGGAGGACTTTTTGATAGAAATAACCTGCATGTGAAACTCCCACTTTTAGACTGACGGCAAGGGGACACTGACCCATGATCCGTCTACCACTGAGGATATTTCACATCAGCACTGTAGTCGGTGCAAACCGGGTGCAGAATTCGTATCGACTGAGATTCGAACCCGGTTCACCTCATTGGAAGGCGAATGCTCTATCCCCTGAGCCATCGCGGCTCAATAGCTGGAAATTGTACTTAGCTAGTTATGAAAGTGGCACAAATCATTAATAGAACCATAAAAATTTATTAATTACTTTTTAAATAATGTTTACCATGCTCATTGAATTTCTATGTTCAACTAACCCTTTAACAACATACTATTTATGTTATCAATTACTGTTTTTTTTTTAAATTTTTCTTAAAAAGCGAATTCGCTGTTTTATTAATTTTAACATAAAATAAATCCAAGCTACTTTCAAAATAAATTATAACTCGTTTTATAATATTATATTACCTACATAATATAAAACTATATGTATGTAGACTACCGTGCAATTATGGAAGAGACCCTTTCCGTTTTAAATTTTTCAAGAAATACTCAGAGGATTGTCTTATAGTTTTAAAGCTTTCAGGTTTGAGAAACTGATAATTAATTATGTATGAAAACAAGTATTTTTGAAAACCTTATACCAGAAAATATAGCAATAAGCTTGTAATTTGTATCGATTACTTTTAGTGTTACAATAAATTTTGTATACTTAGCTTGAATTTTTTCATGGAGATATGGACATTTTTAGAAACTAATATTTTTGTATTATGTTTTTTTTTCTTTTTTTTGCTGTAATATTCAATAAAATTATACAAAATTTTTAGAGCAATTTTTAATTATTTGCAAAATTGTCGTTAAAAATTGGACGAGATATGAGTATTTAATTTAGTCCTTTCATACTACGCATGCGCGGAAAAATATTTTTAAAAAAATCATAATTTTGAACTGAATTGTATTTGTTAACTTGTGGAAAAAGTTCGATTTAAATATCTTGAAAAAGTTTCTAGCAAATTAAGTAGGTTTTATGTTTTTATCCCCTTAATGATCGGTTAATTTTCAAGTAAACGGTCATAAAAGTGCCTATTTTTTTGGCTTTTGTATTTGTATTACGCATTTCATTAGTGCTGCAAGTAGTTTAAAGTAAACTAACTATTTACAACTACCTTAAAAATATTCTGGTACTGCCATCTGGTGTGTAAAATGAGAAATAAAATGTTTTACGGGCAAATGAAATGAATTAACTTTATTCTTATAAGCGTGTAACTGCTGAATACTCCAGCCCATCAATATCACGGGGGCAAGAAATAGAGGGCGAAACCTCACGCCATCATTTTCACGGAAGCGAGAAGGAAGCGGTTAAAAGAAAGCTCTAAATGATAAGGTTTATTAAATCCGGACGTTTGGCATGATTAATGCACATATTAAGATTAAATGGTAATAGAAATTTAAGAAAACTTTTAAAATGAAAACCTTTTAACTGGAAACCAAGAGGAAGACTGAAAAAAGAGATGCTCGGATGATGTTGGCGCGCATGCGCGTCAGCGCCCCAACCGGCAGAAGATTTTGTAACTTCCATAATGACAGACGGCTCACATGTGTCTAATTAAAAATAAAACTTCTGAAATCGCCTTTAGCGATAACTAAAATAAATAGAAATAAATCATCTCTTTTTAAAAAAGAGTGGTCCGTTCTTATAATTTTTCCTCTTCAAAAAAGAGTATTCCGTCCTAATAATTTTTCCTCTTCAGACGATACTACCAAAAATCTTATCACTGAAAGTGAAAAACTAGAAGTTAAAAGCCAAAAGTAGGAAAGTCTGGAAAGATATTGTTTGGAAGGCCAAGGCTCACAGCGGGCGGCAGTGCGATATAAGTAAATGATAAAGAGTTTTCCACAAATTTCCTTCACAAAATAAAATTTTATAACAAATAATAATACATCAGAATAATCTTCTGCAGACTTATATATGACAGTATAATACTTTTATGAGGGAAGATCCCCCACAATGCCGTCGTCATTTTTAAAAAGAACTTTTTTAATAGTATAAAATAAAATTTGAAGAAAGTCATTTTATCCCCAAAATAAAAATACATTATTCATTCAATCTCCTGTAAAATACTTATGTTTATGAGATTAATTGATTAAATTTAAAGACTAAGACTTCTTATTCATTTTGTAAATATCTTAGAGGAAAATATGAAACATATTGAAATAATATTTGCACTTATTATTTTTTATTTAAAATCTTAGGATTTAGATGGAAGAAACTTTATTTTTAATGAAGAAACTTCTCACGGTGTTTATTTAATTTTACAAAATACATAAAAACAACAGTTTTAACATATTTTAGATTAAATCACTCAATATTTAGAATAGATATTTCTGCTTTCTATCCTGTTTATACACTGGTTATCATAAATTAAGGAAAATTCACAAAAATCGCGATAACTCAAGAAATTACACATGGAATTTTATGAAACTTACCCACAATATACAACACATAGTAAGGTATTAAACAATATAAAAAGAAATTATCAGACATTAATAGTAGTATAGAAATTAGCACATGTATAAAATAAACAAATTGGAAGTATCGGTTTGCAATAGAAAAAGTACCTTTAATATGGAATATGATTGCCTCTAGAAGCAATACAGCACAAACAGCGATGTGTGATGCTTTCAATTATGCGGTCTATCAGTTCAATAGGAAGTGAGAGCCATTGCTCTTGTAAAGCAGTTGCAAGCGTGGCAAGGGTCTGAGGGGGCGGATTGATGGCAGATACACGCCTCCCTAGAGCATCCCAAACGTGCTCGATAGGATTCAAGTCCGGGGATCGAGCTGGCCACTCCATGCGAGTAATTGTTTCCTGTTGAAGATAATCATCAACAATGCGAGCTCTGTGTGGTCTTGCATTATCGTCCTGTAACAGGAAGCAATCACCAATTGCCCCGGCATATGGGCGCACATAAGCATCAAGGATGTTGTCTCGATAAACCTGAGCATTCACGGTTCCCCTTGGAAAGACATGGAGGTATGTGCGCCCTCCTAAGGATATGCCTCCCCAAACACAGACACTGCCTCTTCCGTATGCATCTCTTTCACGGATGTTTGATGGATGATAACGGGTCCCAGGTTCTCTCCATATCAAATAACGTCTACTGTCACTTTCTAGACTAAACCTGGACTCATCCGTAAAGAGAACAGGCCTCCATTGATCTGACGTCCAGTGGACATGTTGTCGGGCCCACTGCAAACGGTCTCTCCTATGGCGTGATGTGAGCGGCACGCAAATGGCTGGTCGTCTCGCATACAGACCACCTTCGTGGAGCCTTCTGCGCACAGTTGACGTTGACACCAACCTTCCGGTGGCTGCAGCAAGAGAGGATCTAAGATGTGTCGGAGTAGCGGTTCTATTCCTGCGTGCACTTAATGTCAAATATCGGTCATCGGCACTGGTCGTAACAGTTGGCCGTCCTTGACTGAACCTCCTAGATGCCGAATCTGTGGTTTGAAATTGCCTCCAAAGTCTATGAACCACAGATGGACTCACATTTAGCCATCTGGCCACTTCTGATTGACTCTGCCCTGCCTCTAGTCTCCCGATGGCTCTCCATCGTAGTTCTTCAGGCAAATGATGCCTAGAGGTCATTATTACGAATTGGCTATCTCAGATTTTCAATGTCGCAATCACAGTAAAATTTGTGTGCTTTCTCTCAAACTTGGACTTTTATGCTCCAGGCAGATGACGTAAGCCGAGTGCAGCGCCACTAATTTGCATATTGCAATTTTACTCAGCTACTCTTAGTGGACAACATATGCAAATTTTGCACGGTTTGGCTTACTTTTGAAAGAGTTATCGCTATTTTTGTGATTTTTCCTTAATTTATGATAACCAGTGTATATCAGTGTTTTATTTCGATAAGCCTAAATGTTGATAACTTATGTTATACCTGTTTTCTTTTTATTATCATTAAGAAAATGTTTTCTTTTTCGCTATCATTTAATCTTTTGAAATATTTTATTTAAAATGTAAGTTGGGTTTTCTATTGACTCCATGCCAGTTATCTTCATGTTTGTAATTATCTCATTCTTTCGATAAAACTTACTGATATCAGGAAACATTATTTTAGTGATTATTTGTTAAGGAATAATCAATTTTTGCATTTATTCTTCCGCAACATTAATTGCTAGTAATCCAATTACATTTTTTGCAATGAGATGTGATCTTAAACTTCGTGAAACATTGACTCAATTCCTTTATATATATATATGTCCGTAAATACTTCATTTATTATGGAGGTCATAGATACCTTGATACTCTTTCAATATTAGAATAATAAATGCAATTAATAGATAATGCACAATTTTAAAAATATATTTTATTTACATTTATTGCGTGCAGGTTATTCTGCAACGATCATACGTAACATATATTTATAGATTCCTAAATACTGTTAAATGAATGAAGTAATTAAAAACATAATTAAAAAAATAACATAATTAAAAAATAACATAATTAAAAAATTTTCAATCTTTAATTAAAACCTTCAAGCTGTCAAATATTAATAATAATTATAATTTTTAACAACTTTTTTAAACACAAATTTTTAATTCTCGAACTTAATACTTTCTTTCATATGAAAATATCAGAAAATTTATTTAAAAAAAACTATATTTTTAAATTGGGCCATTGGCGACAACAGAGGCTAGATGTTTGTACTGAGTTTAAATAAATAATAAGTTATAAA